TGTACTCCGTCGCGACAGTACAGGTAGTCGTTGCCATAAAATCGTTGCCAGTCATCAATGAATGCCAACCATTGCTTCTGCGGCCACGTTTTTCCAGTCGGCAATTACCAGCAATTGCCCTGGACAGCCATTCACGACCAACCCCTCTTCTAGGCAAGACACCACATACTATCGATCCTCCCCATCTCTAATCTCTCCAGCGCCTCCCTATACCTCTTGAAAAGTTCCTCACTCCTAACCTTACCTATGTCGTTTCCTCCCACACTAAGACACACTACTGGATTGGTACCCTCCCCTGACAAAACTCTGTCTAACCTCTCGGCTACATGCTCTATCCCAGCCCCAGGAAAACACACCCTAGTCCTACGTTTCCTATCTCTCGCACAAAAAGCCCTGTCCATAAACCTCACCTGGCTGTCACCAACTTCCACGACCTTACCTGTGGGCAGGGTTTGTACAACTGCCCTTTCCTCTCCTTGATCCATACCGTCCTGCCTCTTCTCTTCCTCTCCAGCTTCCTGCAGCACCTGGTAAGGGTTACTGCACTCCACACCCTGGTCAGCTTTCCTAAGCCTGACCCTAGTCCCCTTGGAGACAACCACTCTCCACGCCTGCTCCTCCTTCGCAGGTGTCCTGCTAGGCAGGACACCTACCTGAAGGAGTTCCGTCCTGAGGGCTTCATTTTCCCCCTTTAGAGTGTCAACCTCACTCCTCAACTGCCCCAGCTGCCTTAACAGCGTGGCAAGGAGGTCGTCCTTCTCCACACTCCCCTCCTCTTCCCCCACGGCACAACGGTCCAAAGCGGCCATTTTCCTTGGTCTCTAACGGGAGCACGATCAGCACGACCTTCTCCAAGCTGGGTCAGAGGTCGTAGCATCATGGGGACACCACGTGGTCTGAGGTATGGTCCCAGGTCTCTCTATCGTGGAGTCTCAGGGGAATTATCACTGGGTACCTGGGACCTCACTGTGTGAAGGTTAGCTTGGGTAAGACTCAACTGCCGAGTTGTTTTTCACTGACTTAAGCACTGTTCACCACTATTCAACACTGGTTCCATTCATTTCCCAAATGAAATAGTAACTTCTGGGGAGAACTTGTTGATATTTCAGTGGGGAGGAGGGTTCAGGGGAGGGAGTTGGTATGGGCCAACATAACAGTTGACGTGGCTACTGCTGAGCAGCGCCAGGTGCGTCTGACCCGTCTTGACCCGTCGGTGGTCAAGGATGAAGTGTGTGTGTGGTGTGGGAGGTGAGGAGTGTAAGCTGTGTGTGTGTGGTGGGAAGGTAAGGAGTGTGTGTGTGTGGTGTGGGGAGGTGAGGGAGTGTGTGTGTGTGTGGTGTGGGTGGGAGGTGAGGAGGTGGTGTGTGTGTGTGTGTGTGTGTGTTTGGGGAGGTGGGGAGTGTGTGTGTGTGGTGTGGAGGTGTGTGGGGAGTGTGTGTGTGTGTGTGGTGGGGAGGTGAGGAGTGTGTGTGTGTATGTGTGTGTGGTGTGGGGAGGTGAGGAGTGTGTATGTGTGTGTGGTGTGGGAGGTAAGTATTGTGTGAGGTACAGGGAGGTGAGGAGTGTGTGTGTGTGTGTGTGTGTGTGTGTGTGTGTGTGTGTGTGTATAGTGTGGAGGAGGAGGTATGTGTGTGGTGTGGAGGTGAGGAGGGTGTGCGTGTTTTTGGTGTGGGAGGAAGTGTGTGAATGGGGTGTAATTTACTTTATTTTTGCCTTTAAGCCGGTTACAGCGGCTACTTTATTGTTCACCCCACACTCATCCTGTGAGAGCGGTAGCGCAAAAGCGATTACAGAGTAGAGTTTACAAAGGGTCATACACTAACCCCTGCTGCCGTGGATACATGGCACTGAATGTTACACAGCATTTCATTTACATTATTTGTTTAGTTCTCTATACATAAGCAAATTATCACAAATGCGTGAGTACAAGAGTGTGAGGCAGTATACCAGCCCCTCACACTTTGTTAGTTCACATTTCATGTGGAGGTATTCAAGCACATTGCATTTGGTTCTGTACATGAGAATTGATATAGTTACTAAGCAAAAAAAAAAGTGGATACACACTGTTAATATGTCGGCTATCTGCCATTAGAGATCAAGTACAGCTACTTTCACACACAGTGTGTTGGACCTGTCCCTAAAAGTTTATCTTCACACAGTCGAGACATAGTAGCTCATGTGTGGCCCTTGTGGAGCCGGCCAGTGGAAGACTTGTTGGCATATGCCTCTGGAATATTTATACATCGAGGGGAGGAGAGGGTGGATCAGAGATGATAGGTGAGGACTTTCTGATTTCTCTGGTTAGATTCCGTTTCTTGCGTGTTTTCGCCCAACAGTATCTCTACTTTAAAGCCCTACCATTTTAGTAACCAATATTTTGTAAGTAGGAGGGGGGGATATTTACATAACTATTAATTTCTGACGAAACCAAAGGCCAAATTATGAAACACTATAAAATAAGTAAAAACTTATTTTCCATTGTAATTTCGGTACATAGCAAATTCTAATATTTACCCTAAAGTTTGTTCTTAATATTACAAGGGTCCATAAGAAGGTAACTTACAGATCTCGTAGACCCTGCACACGCAAAACTCTGAATATACAAACACAGCACAAAGACACTATATAACACTGACTCCATTTTCACTACTCTCTACGGTACTTTATTACGAGTCATTTTCCCAGGTTACATTCCATAAAGTAACACATCCACATTTCCTTACTTATAACGTCAAAAAAAAACAGAAATAAAGGTTCCGAATTTTATCGTCACTCATAACATCGGTTCACAAACCTAGAGTTCCTTCTGAAATCCCTTAACCATCTAAATATGATAAAATTATTGAACAAGGTGTAAGATATTTAATAATCTCAGTATTATTGTTTTGAGGGCACCTTATTTACATGCATTTTTAGTTTCTTTTTCCGTTTGGACAAAGAAAACTCAAACAATATTCAACCCAAAATGACTTGTATACAGTACCATATTTGTTGAACACCGCATTTATCAATCATTTTCAGTATGCATATATATAAGTTTTGATACAAATTAATAAATCTTAAAAATAGGTAAAACCCTACTTCACAGTAATAAATATATATATATATATATATATATATATATATATATATATATATATATATATATATATATATATATATATATATATATATATATATATACTTTCTATTTTATTACATAGAAGGTAAAATTCGTTTATATCCTAATTTCCTAAGTGGCATGATTTATTTTTCGAGTTTATTTTATTTTTTTATTGCACGTCAACCAGGAACCTTAGGATTTTATTTACAGTAGAAGATACGAGCTTTCTTACCATATAAAATTTTAAATTAGAAGGATTTCACAATCAAAATATGGCTTAGGCATGAAATCTTTCTTAAATGAAGTTTTTCACGTTGAATACATTGGTGATAATGGAAGTTTATGGAAATGCATGATTGTTAAATTAGGACTCGCTATCTTTACCTATCAAAGATGGACAAGGCTTTAAAGCAGAGGAAAATGTGGAATTAAAACATAACTAAAAGAACCTAACGTAACCTAATGTGGACAATGTACTCACCTACTGCATAAATATTCTGCACAAACATTCTAACATATAAGTCAGTTTACACAGTAATTATCTACCTTCCAGCCATGCCATATTGATAATACATGCCACCCGTGATGTGCCCTTTACATAGAAGGTAAAAGCTTTCGTACCAACCACCTAAATGGCTAGTAAGCAAAGTAATAAGTTAGATTACCAGAAGAAATTGAGAAAAACATGCAAGCGGAATACAATTGACGCAATGTATAGGATTTGTACTTTTCAAATTCTGTATTTATCTCCCAGGTTTTCCAGTAAGTAAAGATCCTCTATGCCCATTGTCCACTTTATGACATAACATTTGTGCTCCAACTGTTGACAAATATTTCACAGCGATCGAATTGCCCTGAATATCTCTGCAACAGAACACTTCCCAATCTGTAAATGAACTTCCTTTTCCTTATGGACCTACCTATCCATGGGTAATATACCTAATCTAACCTAGAATAGAAATATTAAGTTATTTAATAATAACTTTTGCGATTAGTGTTTGTGTATATAAAAAGAAAGACACTGCTTCTGGGAAGTTACCATCTTCATGTAAATCATGTAATTAGTCTTATAAGAAGGTCTTTCAGATACCTAGACTGTACATCCTCGAAACACTACAGAAGTGAGGTGCTTCCCCGTTTAAAGTACTGTACTATGCTAGAGATAGTCAGTTGATTGAAAACATCAAAGGAAGGCCACCACCAGACTGATGCCTGCACTACAGCACCTCAGTTCCCCAATGAGATTAGAACACCTGCATCTGCCTATACTGTAGTACGAACTTAAACTATGGGTCTATAAACACTCCAGATGATATTACTCAGTCGAGTAACCATATCTGGAGCTGGCGCTCGCCCTCTAGAGGTCATAGCTTAAGGTTGAAGCCACAAGATCGAAAAAATTGTCGGGGCCAATTTTCGGAACGAAATATTATGAAGCCTTGGAACAATCTGCCATTGTTGTCACAGCACTAAGTGTGAGCTCTTTCAAGACCAGACTTGACCAACACTAGCACAGGTACATATATATCCTGGAGCCTGTACTGCCAACAATGTGTAACAGAGATGTAACAAAGCCGATCAATGGTGAAAAGGATGAAGTAAAGTAATGATAAAGATACTAATTTTTCGATATATCGGATAAGATATAAAGATGTATGTACGGTATGTCTACACTTGGGTGATGCTATTCCTAATTTGTCTGCAGTTTCCTTAGGACATACCCATATAATATGTTCGCGTATGTATGTATAAATCTGTTTATCTATTTATTTATTTTGCCATGTATATGGCAAATGTCCAATTACCCACAAGATTGTCATGTATAAGTACAACTGTCGATTGATAGCATCATTGTGCAATACAAAATCATACGAGCAAAATGAATCAAACAAAAACATGCACTTCATCTTTATTTATTTTAAAGGAAGTTATTAACTACATGTTATAGTTCTGCATGGCGAAAACGAGCAACAGAAACATATAATGGTGTTACTTCAATGACTAAGGGTTAATAAAGTGCTAAAGTCAGGGAGGGTGGAGTTCACCCCAGTCTATGTTGGCCCCAAAGGAGGTGAAATTGACGCCTATTCTCTGGCAGCAGGTGGTAGGCAGGTGGTCGACCCAGCAATCTTGGCCTCAATCCAGGTCAGGTAGTCTGGGGGACACATATACTCTTAGTGATCACATGTCACCTTAATGCAACACATGTTACTTCAGTATTAAACTCAATCAGAATATCAATAAACTACAGCTGCTACTACTATTTTTATTAGTACTACTACTACTACTACTACTACTATTACTACTGCTGCTAATACTACTACTATTACTGTATTACAATGCTACTATTATTACTACTCGAAAGTATGTAACACCCTTGGGTGTCACACAACTAAACAACACTAGTAACAGAGTATACAATTAACTACTTAGAACTAAGCTTAAATTTATTAAAATACAGCATGCTTTTGGCAGGGTTAAAACAAGTGATGGTTCTCACAGATAAAGAGGTATAAAAGGCTGTAGACTTACTTGTGACCTGGCGTAGACTCCTGGGTAATCGGCATCAGCACAACCGTAGCCCCAAGACACTACACCGATCTGTACCATGAACCTCTGGCTACTGTCCCAGCAGTGACCATGGGACCACCAGAGTCACCCTGGACAACACAAAATGTCTCAGTAAAACACAGAAGTTTTGTAGATAACATGAAGATTAGGCACCCCAGCTAACCTGATTATACAACACCTTAACGTGAAATGCGAGGGTTAGGTGTTTAATTATCAGGTGAATAAGCTAAGGTGACTATTCATGATCCCTTAGTCATAAGGCTATCATATGTGTAACATTTATAATCAGTTTGCAGTGAAATATGAGGATGTACAGCTACCTATCCTTTCATTTATGACTTGCATAGAAATTGTTGATCTTATTTATATTTCATGGTGATATACTAGTTAGTTTGGATGGTACTTAAGCAATTAATGACAATAGAAGTGAGTATAATATAATAGAGAGGGAGTAAAGAACAATAAGTGACAAGGAAGATGGTAATGGGAGAGAGATGGGTGTGGGTAGAAGGAGGGGAGTGTTACCTGGCAGGAGTCCTTGCCTGGCGTTGTGCCAGCACAGATCATGTTGGAAGTTATGCCTGAGCTGCTGTACTTGGTTTTACACTTGTCGTTGGTCATGGTGGGTACCGTGACCTCCATGCGATGTTTGGCTGTGACCCGCCTGTCACACACACACATATATTGTTAGCTTCAGAAATGTCACTTGAACATGTGGGTCCCTAGCTCCATAAATACTACAAAAAATTATGATGTTCTGCACTCCAGTTGAGACGAAATAGTTCTTATAAATATTATAGATGGTAACTAATTCTCATGTATTATTTTAGACAAATGACTCTACACCGAGTGACTGACCTGAGGT